GGTAGCCTACTGGGTAAAGCGTTGACTCGTCACGGGTTCAATTCCCCACATGGGTACAATGAGTGAAGTCCATTTTCTGGTGGCAGTCACATAAATGGCTTCTGTTATTAGTTTAAATACAGTAAACTATGGTTATGACGAACAGGCATATAACGAACTGACTGATATAATGAACTTATTTTTCAGTCCCGACCATTTGTCGTATAAATGTCGTATATATATATGCTTATAACAAACTACGGTTATTACGAACTAAAATTAGTGGTCCCTTCGAGTTCGTTATAACCATTTACTGTATTTCATTTGGGATATTTGGGATACCTCATAGCATAGGTGGCTAAGCTGGCCTAAGGCATCTAACTTATCTCTGAGGAGTTGCTTCCCTTAGCCATTCCTGGATATGCTGCAACCCTAGAAACTAACCTTTTGAAGTGTAGTAGTACTTATAAAGATAACATTCAGCAAACCCCTTAATAATGGCAAATGTCTACTCGTCCTTGTGATACCTTAACTACTGGCAGTTTGGCAAGGACTATAGGATTAGTGCCAATTTCTATCACTGTGCTGGCTGCGGATTTGAGTCCAGAAGTCATCCCCATTATGATCCATGGTTTGTCAGCACCATAGTGATAAAAATTCAGCAGTAAAAAAGTTTTAGAATTGAATTTTAAAAGTAACAGTAAACTGAAATGTACCCTTTGCAAAACACAGCTGATTTTCAATTGAAACTACATCAGGTGTTTTTGTGCTTGACTGACAATGAAAGTTGATAACACAATTCACCTTATCGAACACCTGGCAAAGAGAAATTATTCATACACAGGTGTGTGCCTTTTTCTTGTAATCTTCAAAGAGTAAAGTAGGACAAATATTTTTTTAGTGCTTATTCATATTGCTGGCAGAATAGCAAAAGTTCCACCTCATTTAGAAACCTTCAAGATATATACTGAACAAAAAATAAATTATGGATCATGAATGTTTTTTGGGATATTTTTGTGAAATTGTGTCCTCAGTCTTCACAACATTAAAACATCTCCCAAAATATTCATGATCCATAAATTCTTTTGTTCAGTGGGGTTGTCGGGTAGCCTAGTGGTTAAAGCGTTCGCTCGTCACGCCGAAGAAACGGGTTCGATTCCTGACATGGGTACAATGTGTGAAGCCCATTTCTGGTGTCCCCTGCCGTGATATTGCTTGAATATTGAATGGCGTAAAACCACACTCACTCACTCACTCTTTTGTTCAGTATAGCAGGAATTATTTCACAACATTCACACTCATTCTAAACAATCAAACTCATTTAATTTTACATCAAATGAAATAAAATAAGAGCAACATTATGTGTCCTGATTGTGTGAGTTCCTCATGTCTAACAATAGTTTTTTATGACACAGGATATATATTACACTGTTATACGCTGGGACACTGCTACAGTGATTCCTATTGGAAGGCAAGTCGGACAGACATGATATATATTACATATTCTGATGCATGTTTATTGCTTCATGTGTTTGAACTGATTCAATAACAGACAGCCGGTGCTTATACCACCTGTTCTGGATGATGGATGAGGGCTCACAGTTACACAATGTTTATGTACCTTGAGGGAAGAAAGAGCAATATCCCTTTTAAAAGTGAAGTGTACCCTTGAAGATCTGGGGTAGAATAGGTCTTCAGCAACCCATGCTTGTCGTAAGAGGCGACTAACTTGGTTGATGCATGTCATCGTATTCCAATTGCGTGGATTGATGCTCATGATGTCAATCACTGGATTGTCTGATTCAGACCTGATTATTTACAGACCGCTGTCATATAGCTGGAATATTGTTGAGTGATGCGTTAAACAAAAAGAAAAAGAAAAGTAAAGTGATTATTATCCCTATGATGGTATAATCTACACCACTTTTGATAGGGACATTTCTGTTATTTCTTTACGTACAAAAATGTCCTCATCAATTGTTTATTCACATTCAGCATAATGTTCTGATATTAAGAAAAATAAAATTATATGTGACTTGATGTCATTGTTTGTTCATTATATCATTGTACAGAACAGTTTTTAGAGTGTTGAGCATTCAGGATTCTAAATATTCATTCGTCTTCATAAGAGTTCGACCACCTCCATGGTCTTGTTGATAGAGCTTCTGTCTGTAGGACTTCCCGCATGGTTGGGGTTCAATCCCTGGCCGTGTTATACCAAGAGATGTTAAAAGACACACACCACCACCACACCACACCACACACAACACCCACACCACACCACACCACACCACACCACACCACACCACACCACACCACACCACACCACACACAACACCCACACCACACCACACCACACCACACCACACCACATGTATGTTAAAAACGTTAAACCCCATTTCACCTCACCTCATAAGTGTTGAACTGTAAGATAAGGTCGCCATGTGTGTCACATGCAGGAAATGTGAGCCTGTCATCATAGAAGAGACACATGGCCTGCAAACTTGTTTATGTGGAGACTGTGTTCTCCCAGGTAAGGTTCGTTTGTTAATCAGTATTTGAGAGTCGGGCTTCATACATCATTATCTTCATTTACTTCATAACATTAAGTGTTAAATTAAATGGACTCTACAGCGTCACTGCTTTTTAAAGTGTATTAACTTTAGATCTTCCATTTTTGATTCTCAGAACTGGCTATATTTTTAGACTTGTTTTGAAAACTGTTCGTTTGTTAATCAGTATTTGAGAGTCGGGCTTTATACATCATTATCCTTATTTACTTCATAACATTAAGTGTTAAATTAAATGGACTCTACAGCGTCACTGCTTTTTAAAGTGTATTAACTTTAGATCTTCCATTTTTGATTCTCAGAACTGGCTATATTTTTAGACTTGTTTTGAAAACTGTTTTTTTTATGTTTGACTGCACCATGTTTGGAAGCTACTGGTTATTTATAGGTCGACTGGATCAATAGGGAAATATAATAACCCTTAATGCACACCGCAAGTATTAATCATGTACACCTGTGAGAGTAATAATATCACTCAGGTGTGTACAGGTGTAAACAGGTGCTTGTGCTGAGCAATGCCAAGGTTAGATTTATAATTCCCTTTTTATGTCAAGTTACAAATACCTTTCACCGACAGGAATAGTCATATACAGATACAGGGGCTATGCTTTTAGAGATAAGGAAATAAAGCAATAAGGTTAGAATTATTTCATGCAGATTTTCATTTTTACATTTCCTTTTCTACAGATGCAGTGTGAATATTTTCATTTACATTTCTTCTATAATTAAGCTTATGTTGTAGTAAGTTTATGAATATTTGGAGTGTGTTATTATTAGTCGTGTGGTTGGAGAGCTTGACAGCATTCACTGTCAATAAATTATCAATTATTGATCGATTGATGCTGTCGATTATAGATTATATATTTACAGGTCTATACCCAACACTAGTTGTTATTATCATTGGAAAACAATATACTGACATAGGCAACATTGTTATTAGTGTTTACACATTGATTTTAATGTAGTAATGTTGATTGTGTGGAGTGATTCATTGATACAGGGAGGATTTCTTGATATGCTAAAAAGGAAAGTGAAAAAGACAGTATATGTCCCGATTATAATGATTTGTGGAAATAATACACAAGAATTCACAATCAGACATTTACTGTAGACCTAAAAAGACCATTTCGAAAAATATTATGAAAATAACTGGGATTACTGCCCTCTTTAGTCTATACACAAGTTATACAACATGTCATGATTTCATTTGTCCCTTGTCTCAGCTGATCTCATATCTGCTAACATGTTCTGTAGATCCCATTGAACAGAGGGTTGATACAGATTATATATACTAGAGTTCTCGCTTATACAGTATACAGCTTGTTTAATGGTTTATCAAGTTAAAATTGTCGGGTTGTAGTGAGACAAGTTGCACAGCTTCTTACCGCTATTGTACTGTTTAAGGTTGCAAAAAAATCTAGAATCTCTTTCTTGGTTTACAGAAAGGAAGGTCTGTGGTTATGGTTGATAATAATAAAATAAAAGTAACCTCATTTCAGACTAGTTTTGTTATATAAAAGTTAGGATAATATGTTGCCATTTGAGCAATGTTACTTTAGCTTGTCTCGTGACGTGTGTTACAGTTAACCTTTTGCGTGCACATTTTGAATTTTGTTTTTTTAAATACCAAAGTTGGCACAATAATAAAAATAGGTTGTTGGATTAATTTGTTCTATTTTTCAATATCTTAGGGTCTGTAAAGCATTTTACCCAACTCACTCATTCACTGTAACAAAGACTCAGTGTTTTGTTGAGAATAGACTGATAGGATGAAATACATTGGAAGCAGGGTTTTATGCTTTTGCTTGGTCATCAATTCAGTAGCAGTATGAAGACAATCCAGTTGATTCATGTGTGAAGTATACATACATGCACCAAATAATTGGTCATTGTATTCTGTATTAAGACATGTTATACCTGTAAGGGTTCAGCTTACTTTGTTTAGGGAGTGCAATAAATTCAATTCACCACATGTATTGTACATATTTATGACTGTGTTTTCATTATGTTAATACTGTATGCTGTTTTCTCAATCACGGGTTTGGTTTTGTAGTACGGTGCTTTATGTATTCTGGTCATGCACAAGACCTGTGATTGATTCCTATCAAGAGCAAAAAGTGTGAAGAATAATCTTGGATTAGTTTTGCCAGAGCAAACTTGTTAAAGGGGCTATAACCACTCTCCCAGGCATTGAGGAGTGGTTAAATAGCTCAGTGGTTGATGTTATTGTTCAGCTGGGTTTGATTCTGGACAGGCACACTAAGTCGTTCCTTTTTGTCATGGTGGGACTGCAGTATTGCTAAAGGAGGCATAAAATGTCTCATTCCTAGAGGTGAATGAGCTGGGGTAGCACAGTGGTTAATGTGTTTGCCCATCAAGCATTGGACCTGGGTTTGATTCCCAACATGAATAGTTTTGCTGATATTGATGACCTTCCTTCCTTTCCTACAGGCTATGTACCAGACACTGACTCAGAAGCGGGGACCTTGACAACCAACTCCCCACTCGAATGGATGGAAAAGCATGTTGGCATCGGACCCACATTGTCATCAGTAGAAGAACAAGACGATTCATACAGGGAGTCCTTCACTGAAGGTCAAGGTAAGATATCTTCTGTGTTTGATCTGTTCGTAGAATAGAGGAATATTTATGTTGGACATCTACCCACATTACAAATCTCATTAATATCATATCTTAGTGCTCGCTACCACACAAAGACCTGAGGACATCCCATTGCAGGTCACATCAGAACGACCTGTCATCTGACCAATCAGAGCGTCACGAGATCACAATAGTGAAAGTCTGAATTGGTCTTCGAATCATGTTTTCTCGAAATGGTTGACATGGGACATTACAAGTGAGTGAGTGAGTGAGTGAGTATGGTTTTACGCCGCTTTTAGCAATATTCCAGCAATATCACGGCGGGGGACACCAGAAATGGGCTTCACACATTGTACCCATGTCGGGAATCGAACCCAGGTCTTCGGCATGACGAGCGACATTACAAGTGACAGTTACAGGCTGTAGACTAATTCTGTAAGAACAACATTGTCTATCTCTCACTGACATGACCTGACTTGTGAAGATCCGGGGTAGAATAGGTCTTCAGCAACCCATGCTTGCCGTAAAAGGTGACTATGCTTGTCGTAAGAGGTGACTATGCTTGTCGTAAGATGTGACTAACGGGATATTAATGTTAAACTGCAGCATGGTATCTCAATGTGCTAGCACTATAAATCGGCATCAGTCCGGACTAGTACAAGCAACACACACACACACACACACACACACACACACACACACACACACACACACACACACACACACACACACACACACACACACACACACACACACGTACGTGCATGCATGTCGCTATATAAGTGCTTGGACGCTAACATAGACCCCATTCACCTCACCTCATTCATAAAACCTTTAACTTCTATTATCCCTGTTTGATAACAATACTAAGGCATTAAGGCATGTTTGCCTCACATCCTCCTGATTGAACAACACTGTTATTGCTGATAGAACAAAGAATAATTAAAGTTTCGCATTTAAAGATTCCAGCAAGGATTCAGTTGTGGTGAAGGATTCCGAGTGCGACTCCGACAACTACAGTGACATCGGTGCAGGTCGCAGCGACACCGACATGGGCCGGAAGGAGACAGATATGTGAGTCCATTAGTACAAAGATATTGACAATGAATAAAATCATCATTTTGTTAGAAGTAAAGAGTATTCTATTGGAGGGTGCCTATCCCATTTTAGTATGCCGGATGCCGAGCTCTATTAAATGTTTATCTGGTACGTGGATGCCAAAATTGCAATGTTGAAATTTATTGTCTTTTTTCATGTACTGAGTGTCTACTATTCAATGAGATATATAAGCTCTATATAAGCTTATGAGCACGCAAGGGTGGGCACTCTATGTGAAAATTACAGTCATATTTATTTGTATCAGCTGTGTTCATTGATACGGTTTAAATCAAGTTCTTGAATTAGATGCAAGACAAATTAACTGGTATGCCTGATGCCTGCATGGTAGATTTTGCACCCTCATGCAGCAGTAGAAACTAACTTTTTTAGTCCACTAGTCCTTATAATAATAACATACAGCAAAACCCTAGAAAATGGCAAATTTCTACTGGTCCTTATGATGCCTTAACTATTGGGCAGTTTGGCAAGGACTTCAGGACTAGTGCCAATTTCTAACACTGTTATATTGTTAGAAGTTCCTACGAAGTAATACCTGATAGGCATGAAAACAAACTCCACTTTTACTTCACTTTAGGATTGTGTTTATCAAAGTTTAAAGTTCTGATTACAGAGAGAATTTGAGTTTGTCTTATACTTCTAAAAAAGGTTAAGGACCATCTAAATCTTTCATTATACTATAGTGTTGACAACAGTTACAGTAAACTACGGTTATAACGAACATGCATATAACGAACTGACTGATATAATGAACTTATTTTTCAGTCCCGACCATTTGTTGTATAAATGTTGTATATATGCTTATAACGAACTACGGTTATTACGAACTAAAATTAGTGGTCCCTTCGAGTTCGTTATAACCGTGGTTTACTGTATATGGAAGAATCTGGTGGTTCTGAACCTGAAGCATGTTAAGCTCACATGCTTTGTTATTACTGAAATACTGTATAAGGCAGCATGAAACGCCATCATTCATTGCAATTATTTTCTTTTTCCCAATTTTATATATACTACTCAAAACAAGTTAAAGTATATCACCAATATGGCTCTTGGTAATACCCACCAGCCATGACAGATTAACTAAAGCGACATGAAAAAAATAATTTTTTGACTGCTTTTGAATTGAACAGGTGAGAAAATTTGACTAATCTAACAATAGCATGAGAATTAAGCTTCATTATTATTTCATGTTTATATTAAACTGGAATTTCACACACTCACTCACACACACACTCACTCACTCACTCACTCACTCACTCACTCACTCACTCACTCACTCACTCACTCACTCACTCACTCACTCACTCACTCACTCACTCACTCACTCACTCACTCATCTTAAAGCAACATGTACTCTGTACAGGGATGATGCCAGCCTACCAGTCCAAGAGTGTGAAGTCAGTGGATTGTCTCCTATTGCTTCAGACTCCAGCAGTTTAAAAGGGTCTACAGCACAGGTTTGAACAGTTTTAATGACATTTTTAAATGCAGTTATATCACTTTCTCCTTGCTATCCTTCAGTAAAATTCATTTTCAAAGAAAAGAACTAGTTGCAGTTTGATTTCAGTTAATCAAGAAATTGAAACTCTTTTTATGAGTCAGACAATGTTGACCTAACTTCAAGTTCCTGGCTTATGCAGATAACTGTAGGTTGACATTTAGACCTGTCATTTATAACCTGATTACTCACAGCAATTCAATCAACCTTAATTATCTGCAGGCTGCATCGCCATCAAGTCTTGACTCATCATTGATGGAGGACGATCGAGCAGAAGCTGACCAGATCCATAATTCGGTCAAGGGAGGTAATCAGGACTCATCACCTGAAAACACATTGAAAGACCTGTCGGACACATCTCCAGATGCTGGGATGATGCCCATTGAGGAATCTGTGATATTAGGGGAGATAACTGCATCTAGTCAAGGGGAGATAAGTGTGAGGGAATCAATGGAAACGGTCAATGAAAGTGCTAGTCAAGATGTGTTGGCAGGTTCTGCTGATGCCAGTGTAAATATTGATGATTCTATTCAGAAGGAGTGTTCAGGTGAAGGCAAACGTGCAATAGATTTGGATGAATCTGGTCAAGACGGAGCTAGTGCTTTGAAAACTCCATCCAAGGGCAAAAGTGCAACCCCAGCATCAAAGAAGAAAAGTGCTGAGAAAGTGATTGAACATAAGAAACCAAATCTCAACGTGCGATCATCATTAGCAGATTACATCCGAGCTCCGGTTCCAACAAAACCAAAGGACGAGAAAGGGGAAGACGTGAAACTGAAGAAAAATGTGGTGAATAAGAAACGTGCCGATAATAAAAAGACAGATTTGGGGAAATCACCTGAAAGTGCTGTTGTCAAAACTGATGAAAACACTACAGAATCAAAGAGAGTTAGACCCAAAGTTGAAAAGGAACCTCCAAAACTAATCAAAAGGACTCCCCCTAAAAGCAAATGGGATAATATTATGTCACAACTTGACAGTAGTAAAGTGCCTAAACCCAAACCTAAGTCAGAAATAAAGAGTAAGCTGGAGATGTATCTTGCAACCCCAGTACCGGTGGCACCGAAGAAAGAAAAGGAGCCGAAAAAGGAATCTAAACCGAGAACAAAACTGGTGTCGTCTCCGAAACCCGACTATAGTAAAGTGAAGAGCAAGCTTAGCATTTCCACTCCTCCTCCATTGAAGAGGGAACAGTCGCCCGTGGGCAACAAAACCCAGAGATTGAAGTCGCCACGACCTCTTTCCAGATTGTCCAATGGGAACATTCACCTGGATTTATCAGAGTCGTTTGAGAACAGTGTGCACAGTTCCGCCCGGAGTAGTCGCACCGATCTTAGTGTGGATATTATTGAAAATGTGCCAGAGTCTCCTAGCCAGTCAAAGGCAAGAACACCAAGTAAGTCGATTTGTAAAGTATTCATAAGAGTAACAAATGTTATATTTGGGATAACACTTTCTGAGTATAGTACAGATTACCGTACTTTTTGGGTTGAGTCCCGTCCGGAATTCAAACCCACATTGCCAGAGTGAGGCACCTGATCAATTTGTTACATTTGACCACTTTCTAAATGGCATTGTGTGTTCATATTCATAAGAGGCCTGGTAGTTTCCAATCCCCAAGGGTTTCAAATCATAACTATTGGAAAATTTAGTTGTTAAACTGACAGAAAAACATACCAAGTAGTCAGAATAATAGTTACATGTAGATAGCAAAGATATGCAATACGACTCAATATGTATTGTATTGCAATAATGTAACAGTTTGCTACATAGGAGGGGGCCCAGGTGGACCAGTTGTCTTAAGGTTCCACGGGGCAGTGCGTTAGCCTTGTGGTTAAAGTTGTGGCTCGTCGCGATGAAGACCCGGGTTCGATTCCCCACATGGGTACAATGTGTGAAGCTCATTTTAAGGTGTCCCTCACAGTGATATTGCTGGACTATTGCTTAAACCGGAGTAAAACCAACAAACTCACTCACTCATATTACCCAATGGGGATTGCATGTCATCGTACCACAAAAGCGTGGATCGTTGTTCACAATATGAATCACTGGATTGTCTGGTCCAGACTCAATTGTTTGCCATCCGCCTTCATGAAGTGAAATATTGCTGAGTGCAGTGTTAAATAACATACAAACAAAATATTTTTTTATTTGTTTTGAAATGGGATGTTGTATCTTGATGCAAATCTTACAGATCTATACCAAATCAATCTATCTTCTTTAGGATATCAAAACTATTCTGTATTGTAGTCAAGGGGGTAGCCTTGTTGCAAAAGCGCTTGCTTGTCAGCCAAAGGACCATTGTCAATTCCCCATGTGGGTACAATGTGTGAAGCCCACTTCTGGCCCCTGCCTTGATAGAGCTGGAATATTGTCAATAGTGGCATGAACAAATACTACTCACTGTTTGAAACCACATTTATTGAATTGTTATAACATTGGCATTCAGCTCGTTCATATGGCCTTTTTCAAGGTATTGTATCTTGAGTTTGAATGATAACATTGACTTTGTGATACAGGTACATTTAATGCCCAATAAAGGATCATTACTGGTAAGAAAATCCACTGACTAAACACACAGTTCAGCCAGGAGAGGGATATTACAGCACAAGCTTAAGACAGTTTCGAGCCTATCTAATGGAGTTTGTTTACTAAGCTTATTGCTGGGGGGCTTCACTGTTTTAGGAGGGGCGAAGGGGTAGCCTAGTGGTTAAAGCATTCACTCGTGGTGATGAAGACCCGGTTTTGATTCCCAAAATGGGCACAATATGTGAAGCCCATTGCTGGTGTCCCCCACTGTCATATTATTGGAATATTGCTAAAAGCGGTGTATAACCATACTCACTCACTCACTGTTTCGGGTTAGTTTGCTTGTATTTTTCTTCATTAAGGGTGGTGTCAGTTGGGTTTGGGAGGATCAGTGATCAAAGTTGCTGCAATTCGCTGAACTTGGATCTCCTAGGCGTGGTTTTAGTCACAGATCTTCCATGATTATCATCTTTGGTTTGTCATTGCAATGCATGGTTTTCACTGATGTGGAAATAGCTTGTCTCAGAACTGCTCATTGAACAAGAAGACAGTTTGGGAGGACATGTAATAAAAGGCATCATTTAGAAATCAGTCTTAATTTCAATTTCCAGCTAAACACCAAGCCAAGCCAAACATTTAATAAAATTAGATTTTTTTTACTTTTCATCTCCAGTGAAATTTATAGATTTAATTTCATTTGAGGAGTGTTCATCCAAATAGCATATCACTCATTGAGTGGTTATGAGATGTCCCAGACAATAGGTTTTTGGATAGTCATTGTGTGGTGTGAAGTTGACCTCAAGCAGGGTATAAGAATCTTGTATACAGTGAGCCCCAATGAATGTTATTGATCAGAGTCCGAGTCAATCATTCAGAGAACCAACTGTATGCTGCAAACAATGTAGGGGTAGGGGGCGCTGTTCTATGAAGACGAGATTGGCATGTTTGCCTCGTAATTAAGCAAGGGTTGCCTCTTGGAATCCATCGTCCTGGCATATCGGAAATATTGATCAAGTGACTTGATGAGACTTCTTGAAATGCTTTATCGGGAGCGCATAGCTGGTGCACATTTCCTCATTGTCCTCTCTGAAAGACTGAAATTTAAGGCTCTAAATCACTAAAAGATTCATTTTTTTGTCAGTGGTTGATGGGAAAAGTCTTTTTAATGTGTTCTTTCAATTTGATTCAGAGTGTCAAGATTGAATTTTACGTTCTGCCACAAATTCTATTTCCTGAACTAGAATTTTGATGAAGTAATTTGATTTTAAAGAGTGTGACAAATTGAAAACTTTGACCATATTTCAACAATAACATTAAGAAGGGAGTACATTTTCCTTTGTGTGAAGTACAATGAAATTAACAGTGATAAATATATATCAGCATTAAATGATGGGGTTCCTTACAAAATCTTTAAAAAGCTGAATATCTAGAAAAGAGAAATTCTGCAGAAGTTGACTCTTCTGATTAATATCGGTAGCTGGCCAAATGCCAGATTGAGGTCCATGGGTGAGCGACAGAATGGTAGCCATATTGATCATTCTGACTTCATCTGGACCTGACCCACAATCGGTACAGAGCTGGCCTGGCATGACCCCAGAAAGTTTTCTTGTGGGTACATTGCAAGACAAACGCTTAGTCTCTGAAACATATAATTTTGATAGAAATAAACAACTACATTTAAATTGAAAAGGAGCCCAAGTGAGAAATGAACCTGTGGAAAATCTTCACTTGCTTCATTTAGAGCTAGCATTAGTTAGGTTAAGGGGGGGGGGAGAGGGAAAATAATATGGTTCAGGGGCTGTGAGACAGACAAGTACATTGCCTACTACAGAATTAAGGATTCAGTAAATGAATTGCTTTCTATCCTGATGAAGTATTTGAAAATATTTTTTTATGAATATAGTGACCATAACACTTTGATTCCGTATCAAAGTGTGATGGTCAATTAATCATAAAAAAACAATTTCAAATTGTGGAAGAAGAACCTATTATGTTTTCAAGATTGTCTTCCATGAATTCTTGATAAATCTCACAAAAGGACAGCTAAAGAAACAGGTTTCCATTCTTGGTCGGAAGTGCAAAGCTTGAATGCTGTAGGAACTGATTTTATATGAATAGTCATAAGGATACATGTACCAGTCTCAATTCGAACAATCAATGCAGTATAACTGATGTGATAAAACAGTAGAGGGTACACATACAAATTGATATGGTAGTGATCAAACCATGCCATCGATTCTATGAGTACTGATGTAATCAGAAGTATCTGTGTTACCGTATTCAACGTAATAAGCACCCAGGGCGCTCTCAAAATTAGAAATAGGGGGCCCTTATTAGAATAGAATTTTGATGAAAAAAAACCAGTTGAAGATCGTGAATTTCGTGGTTTATGCTGACAGCCTGAAATGATACAAAAGAAAGGTCTGTGTTTATGATACACGACAGATATATTTTTCCAGAATTTAATCGCCCATAATTAAGCGTGCATATAACACACGAGTGCGTATTATACACGAATAAATAAGTCTTGTGTACATTGATCAAACGGAAGAGGTGCTTATTGGGATTGTTCACTAGCCAATATATTAGCAAATATTGCCTGGGTGCTTATTAGAGCGGGGTGCTTATTACATCGAAAATGGTAATAGTAAAGGAGAACTGTACCAATCAAACTGTACTAATCAAATCATGCAATGGATGTCATAACAGCCTGATGTGATGAGCAATAGTTGCAAGGATGTATATACCAATCTTTATGTAGTGATTCATGCATGGTTGGCATGGGAACAGCATTGAACGTGAACACAGATCAATGTCATATGCAGAAGTAGAAGAAGTAAGTCTTGTGTACATTGATCAAATGGAAGAGGTGCTTATTGGGATTGTCCACTAGCCAATATATTAGCAAATATTGCCGTGGGCGCTTATTAGAGCGGGGGCGCTTATTACATCGAATACGGTATACAGTATGGAGTGTTTCCCTACTTAAAACACATCCCTTCTTTTACACTTTGTCTTGTAAAGTAATGCAATGGTGTAGTGTTCTGCATTTTTAGATAATTGCTTTAGAACCTGGATTGAATCAATGATCATCTGGACTGTGCTCATGATTGATTGATGAAATAACAGACACCTGTAATTGCACTTGATGCATTGTGGGTACATCCAATATTATTGTGTGTCCCACTGGACGCATTATATTTCTTCCCTGCGTCTTTCCTGTACATAAGTGCGTGCTGGACGTGCTGACTTGGTTGATGCATGTCATCGATCCCAATTGCGTGGATCGATGCTCATGATAATAATCACTGGATTGTCTGGTCCAGACTCGATTATTTACAGACCGCCGTCATATAGCCAGAATATTGCTGAGTGTGGCGTTAAACAACAAACCAACCAACCAACCAACAACTTTATCCTGTGACTGAAATCAAGAAACAGTGATATAGCTTAGTGGTTCAACAGTGGTTGAAATTAAGGGTGTCTGGGGTTAGTGAGGTTTGCTACCATGGTATTTGAATCTAGTGACCCCCAAAATCTTATATTTTTAACCTCTAGGTCATGACAAGGATCATTTAACTTCATTTGAACATTGTAAGAGAATTGACTCGTCACAGGGATTCACTTCCCAGTTCAAATGTGTGATGCCCTTTTCTGGTGTCCTCCTTTGTGTTATTGCTGGAGTTTTGCTAAAGCTGTTTTAGGCCCTTTCACTCGCTCACTTGTTTGAATCAGGATGCCCTGACATAAGAGCTGTAACTTTATTGACTTCCATGTAAAGCCCTTTTCACCAGAACAACATGTGTGTGATCATCACTGTGATGAATAATCATTATACATTATTTAAAAAATAACCAATAAAATTGA